AAGTGACAGTGATTTGAGTTTTGAAAAAGCTGTAGACATGGCTCAAGTAATTGAAAAGGCTCAAAACGATTCAATAACAATCCAATCAAAATTCAATCATGAAAACAATGAATTGCCGGTTAACTTAAATGTTGTACAACAGAAAAGTTTTCAAAAACCTAAAAACAGTACCAATATTAAACAATGTTACCGTTGTGGAGAGTTACATGAATACATATCTGAATGCAAACACAAAAATACAACATGTAACTTCTGTAAAAAAATAGGGCATCTAGCAAAGATTTGTTTTAGGAATCCTAATGCACCTATCAAATTGCAAAGACAAAATAAGACTACATTTAACACTACTTCAAGAAATGTAAAACAAATAACAGACTCGTTCGAAGATCAAAATGAAATATTTCTACAACAAAATATGAACAATTCTGTTGGATCCCTCTATAAGGAAACTAATGTTATTGACATTTGTTCTATGAATACCTCAGAAGATAAATTTAGGAAAATTATGTTAAACATAAAAATAAATGGGAAACCTATTCCGTTTGAACTAGATACAGGAGCAGGAGTATCTTTGATGTCAAAAAGTAACTTTTCCAAGTTTTTTCCTAAACACAGACCTTTAATGAATCCAGACATAATCTTAAGAGATTTCAACAAAAATGAATTTGTTCCATTGGGTAAAACCATTGTTCAGGTTGGTTACGGTAACCAAACCAAATATCTTCCATTGTATATAGTCGATGGTAATAGAGATACGATATTTGGTAGGGAATGGCTGAGATCCATTAAAATAAATTGGTCAGACATACATAACGTTCACGGAGCTGACTTGGATAGAGTTAAACACTCAAATCCTAAAGTACACAATATTTTAATGGAATTTAAATCCATATTTGAACCAAGAGTTGGACGTTTCAAAGGGGGAGAAGCACTTCTTAACTTAAAGCCTGACACTACACCAGTTTTTAAAAAAGCTAGACCACTACCTTATGCTTTGTTACCAAAAGTTAGTGCAGAAATCGACAGACTAGAAAAAGAAGGTATAATTACAAAGGTGAATCAGAGTTCTTGGGCTACTCCAGTTGTACCGATTATGAAGGCAAATGGGAATATCAGACTGTGTGGAGACTACAAAGTAACCCTCAATCCCCATTTGGTAATACCAGAACACAACATGCCCCGCATTGATGATATTTTGGCCAGAATGGGTAATTCGACTAAATTTACAAAGATTGATATATCTGAAGCTTACCTACACATGCCAGTGAAAGAAGAATACAGAGAATTACTCACAATCAATACACATAAAGGTCTATATCGAGTAAATCGTCTACCATTCGGAATTGCAAGTGCACCTGCTATTTGGCAATCAGCAATGGAAAATATTCTACAAGGTATTGATGGTGTTGATGTTTTCTTTGACGATGTCAAAATAACAGCCCACAGTGATGAAGAACATTTGAAAAGACTCCGTGCTGTATTAAATCGGTTCAAAGACAACGATTTACACATTAATGTTTCTAAATCTCAATTCCTTGTACCAGAGATTGACTTTCTTGGTTACCATGTCTCGTCAAAGGGAATAAGTAAAAGTAAACATATTACTGAAGCAATAAGAAACCTGAAGAGACCAAGTAATGTGAAAGAAGTTAGACAAATCCTTGGTTTGATAAGTTACTATCGAAAGTTTATTCCAAACTTAAGTGAAAAGATGCAAGCCATTATTAATCTCACAAGAGCTAATGTACCTTTTAATTGGACTGAAGAATGTGAACATGATTTTCAATTGGTGAAGGAGGAAATGATGTCAGAGAATATACTATGCCATTTTGACCCACACTTACCACTCATTCTAGCAACAGATGCTAGTCAATCTGGAATTTCGGCAATTCTTTCTCATGTGTTTCCGGATGGAAACGAAAGACCTGTTGCATTTGCTTCCAAAACACTATCACAAACACAAAAACAGTACAGTGTCATACAAAAAGAAGCCCTGGCAATTTATTTTGGAGTTAAACACTTTTACCAATACCTTTATGGACGTCATTTCACCCTAGTTACAGACCACAAACCCCTGGTATCTATATTTGGACCGAAAAATGGAATACCACTTATGGCCTCAACAAGACTACAACATTATGCTATATTCCTTCAGGCATTTTCATTTGACATAAAGTATAAATCAACCAAAGACAATGTTAATGCTGATGCACTTTCAAGACTACCTAAAAATGTTGAAGAAGCTGCTGTTATTGACTCAGCCGATGTTCATGAAATAGAACAAATCTACACTTTACCTGTCACAGCTGAAGAAATAGCAAAAAATACACAATCTGATCCAGATCTTAGAGATATTTATCAATCACTAATCAGAGGGGAGCCAATCCATCACCCGATGTCTTCTAACGAACAAGAATGGTCAATTCAGCTTGGATGCTTATTAAAAGGGAATCGTGTCGTGATTCCCAAACAACTTCGTGCAAGAATTTTGAAAGAACTTCATGAGGCTCATGTGGGTATAGTTCACATGAAGGGACTAGCTCGTTCGTATGTTTGGTGGCCTAAAATTGATGCAGACATTGAGAATATGACCTTAAACTGTTTGGGATGTCAACGAGTACAGCATGAATCACCCAAAGCACCAGTTCACCATTGGGAATATCCTTCAAGGCCTATGCAAAGAATTCATGTTGATTTTGCTGGACCATTTTATGGCCATTATTTTCTCCTAATTGTGGATGCCTACAGTAAATGGCCAGAAATTGTAACACTTACAACCATAAATTCACATAAAACTATTGAGGCTTTGCGTAAATTCTTCGGCTCCTTTGGAATCCCTGACATATTAGTGTCAGACAACGGAAGGCAATTTGTTTCATTAGAGTTTGAAAAATTTCTTAAATCAAATGGAATTAGACACAAGAGATCAGCACCTTACCATCCTGCTACTAATGGTCAAGTAGAACGCTATGTGCAAGACTTGAAAGATACCATCAGAGCCATGCACTTTGAGGAAGGCTCTATCGAAATAAAACTGCAGAGATATTTAATGGCCTATCGAAGAGCTCCACATAGTACTACAGGACAATCTCCTTCACATCTCTTTATTGGACGTCAAATTCGATCAAGACTTGACTTATTGTATCCTGATTTGTCACAAAAAATGAACCAGAAGTTTGACACAGACTGTGACAGGCAAAAGTCCTTTAAAGCTCAAGACCGTGACAGGCAAAAGTCCTTTAAAGCTCAAGACCGTGACAGGCAAAAGTCCTTTAAAGCTCAAGACCCTGTCGCCTACCGCCTCTATGGAACCTGCAACAAATGGGGGTTTGGAAAGATCAACAAAAAAGAAGGACCAAGAAATTATGAAATAGCCACAAGCAGTGGCCCAATCAGACGACATCAAGACCAAATTAGACGCTCAGGGAGGGACTTGTGTGAATTTTCATTAAGGAATGAGCAAAATCAAGTATTCATACCAACAAATTTTGGAGAAGTCAGAGAGGAACCAACCGAAAACCACGCAACAAATTATCACAACATTAATCCAGAGGCCAATGATCCCAACATACCAGATGATCCAGAGACCAGTAACAACATGTCAGATGTTCCAGTGGCACCAGAGACCAGTAACAACATGTCAGATGTTCCAGTGGCACCAGAGACCAGTAACAACATGTCAGATGTTCCAGTGGCACCAGCTTCCGCTATGACAGTGAGACGATCAAAACGGACACATAAACCCGTCGATAGACTTAACTTATGAAACTCACTAAGAAGGGGAGGTGTTACATCCTAAATGTCTATCTTTACTTATTTACTTAAATTTATTCTATAACTATTATCAACTGGTTATAATGTTTACATGTTCACTTTGTTTTTAATATGTGTTGAATAAAGTTGGTTAAAATTGTACCTTGATAAATACATTTATTATTTGTTCTAAATACATACAGAACAATGTGACAGAACGGCTGAGATGAAATGCTGCGGCCCATAGCTCTGCCGTCAGACACAAAACCAATTCCTGCGACAACACAAGGTAGAACTATAAAAAACTGAGACGTGATATCCCAATGAGCGTGTAGACATGTCACGGCTCGCTACTCTGTTGCCCGTTTTGCACATAGGCTATTAGATATTATGAAACTGAAATCTAAAATGGTAAAGAAAGAAAAAGAAGAACCATCTAGGATTGCCTTATTAGCAGTGAAAGCCAGTTGAGCGAAGCGATTCCGTTCCATGGTTTTTAATAAACAACGTTTATAGATATAATACAACTATTTAATCAATTTAACTTATCAGTTTGTCTCAGAACTATCAACATCCATAACAAGTTTCATACGTAAAGATGTGGACATACATCTTCATAGTTTCATACATGTCTTTTATATCGGTATTTTTCTATGTTTGCGTGGTAATTTCATCTGCTGAACCAACAGTTGTGGTTGAACCCGACCAATCGACATTTTCTCAATCTTGGCCAGATTTGGCAATTTGGACAGAAAATAATTGCACAAATAGTTTTTACCATACCTTATAAGGTCTGTTTTCTTAGATTTTGTACACTTAACATATGAAAAGAATTGTTTTCAAGTTGTTTTCATGAGTACCGGTATTGTTTCTAAATTTTAAAAGATGTTGACTCTACATTCAATTATCTCAAAACATTGCCAGAAGTAGTTGTTCGTGCGTTTCGGGCATTTATTCCTCGTCTTCATTTTCTGCAATGAATAACATTACTTAATTATGTCTTCGCCCGAACTGTTGTCTTTTAAAAAACTCAGTAATATCGGAAGTTTGGCAGGAAGCAGAGTCCAAAAGCTTGTCCAAGAGCAGATCAAGAGTTTATCGTTGTGTACCACTACTATTATATAAAAATATTATCCAACAGTGGTTTCAGTTAGCGATCTGTGGTGTTCTATTATCTTTGATTGAAGCCGATCCCAGCTTCGTTTCCACTCAATCAAATTAAATAATGAACTTTGTTGTTGTTTTAGACACAAGATGAGGCTGAAGACAGTGAAGCAGAGAAGCTATCTCCGTTGCTGGATGGTGCCAAATGTACAGACTCATCATCCCCCCCTCAGGAAGAGGAGGGGGAGGACGACCCCTGCCCTACTGACCGTGATCAGCTGCCACCAAACTCCAGTGAGTCAATGTCATAACTTTCCACCCCTTGCTAAAGTTTGATTGTGCAAGGTTGTTTATGTTCCATTTTATGTTTAAGGAAACTGTTCTAAGTTGATTCATTGTCCAGGGTATCTACCAGTCGGGAATTCCAGAAAATTCAGGGAAAAATTGGGGATTTTGAGAGGTTGGAGAAGTTGTGAAAAGGTGTGAATTTCGGCTAAAGGTTGGGAATAATCTAACCCTTCAAAATTGGGAATGAACGGGACCCAAAACTTTATTTTCTGGATTGTGTATTCTCGATCATTGGTACGGGATTACATTTAGGTGTGCAATGCATCGAAATTGCAATTCGATTCAGTGATGATCAAAATAACCATTCGATTCAAGGGGGAATCAGTATCCATATACGTTATTAAATTCATATCCATATTTGTTATTGAATCCGTATCCATATACGTTATTGAATCAGTATCCATATACTTTATTGCGCAAGACGATGATGACGTTTCCGTGACCGCGGGAGACGATGATGACGTCTACACGGCCGTGGGAACTGTTCATGATTTTGCTGCCATTGCGGATGACGATTCTGTGACCGCAGGAGTCAATGATGATGTCTACACGGCCACGGACTGTTTTCTGGACTTTGACACGATTTCAGAAGACGACTATGACGTTTCTGTGACCGCAAAAGACGTTGATAATGATGTCTAAACGGCCTCAGTATATGTTCATGATATTACTTTGAGTAAGGCTTGACTGAAAATGTCAGCCCAAAACACCTCTAGTATACAGGGTGGTCATAAATTATTGTACACATTTTAAGATAAAATAAATAAATAACCAAGCAACATAGAAACATGGGAATTGTTTATGGGCCAGTCATATAGTACATTAAAATCGCAAACTATTGGCTAGTTCTGATTTTTTTATTTGTTGTTAGGGACACTACCAGTAGTATATATCCAAGTTTGCAGCTTCAAAAGACCTATGCTAAAAGCGTAGCACTCGAAAAACCACCTATTTTCGCATTTGTTTAGTTTGTTTCACTATATCTCCTAAAATATGAGTTTAACATAAAACATGTAAGCTACTTTTTTAAAGTATATGCAATTATCTACAATTTAAGACTAGAACCAGCTCTGTAGGTACAGTAGTTACCAAGATACAACCCTCAAAGATTGGCTATTTTTCTTAGAGCCTTATTATGCGCGGCCACTCGAGTGGCGCGCGACCGCGACTGCTCAAAGGCCACTTTTAGCGGACCCTGTTATCATATGGAGCTTATTAAGCGACGCGACTGCGGTGGCGAGGCACGCGACAGTCGCCGCGACTGGCCACTCCAGTCGCGCACCCTCGCTACTAGTCGCGAGCCCATGCGACTGTCGCGTCACCAGCGGGCCATGTTATCATATGCTGTTTATTACGCGCAACCACAGTCGCGGGCCACAGCGGACCCCTACTCTCTGCCCTCGCCTCAGTCCGTATTGACGGAAGGATAGGCATCCGCAAAACAAGACCATTGCTTCGTCAAGGGATAAGCATTTTCCAATACTGTACTGCTTTGTTACGGTTTTATAAAACACGATTTAGCACCTGATCAATTTTGTTCATTTTGTGGTCGGTGGGATCTGTATCACGATCATAAAAACATAAACACTGTAAAATTCTTTCATATCTGTTGCAAGCCATTGTGCTGCAGAATATCGGGTGTTCATACAGTGGATCCTTTAACCAAAAGTGTTTCAATGTGGAGATGTCTACATTACCCATGAGTATGGTTAGGCCTAATAACTTTTTTAGTTCCTCTCTGGTAACATCAGTCCATCTGTTCAAAGCTTGGTAGAGGTTCCTCTTGAGAAGTTGCAGCTCTTTTATTAGTCCATGCCAAGATCTTGTCTATAAGGGCGTCATAAAAAATAGAGCTAAATATGACGATCGGATCTGTTGTTTCCATGTTGTCACAAACAGAAGAGGTGTGGTGATACAGAAGCCATCAATGATTGTGATTTATAATAAATGTATGAGTGGGATTGACAGAAGCGACCAAATGCAACTCCATACAAATGCACATTACTCAACTCCACGCAAGTCCCTTCGCTGGTATGTGGAGATATTTCTCCATTTGTTGGAAATATAACTCTGGAATAGTGTTTATCTGTTTTCTAAGCTCAATTGAAAGATGACATACCTCAGCTGTAGGGACATCATTATCAAACACTTCCTCCAAGTGGAGCTTCTTCGCAACGTCATCCTGGCACTAGCATCTCATCAGCAATGTCCCAGCCAACGATCACATAAGACCAATAGATGGAGCATGTTGGCCGCGACGTGAAGCCAGTATTTTTCACTAATACTTACTAAGATGGGGGCTGCCGGCTGTGACGAGCTCTAATAGCAGGGGCAACTGATTAAATGTTAGTTTATATCAATGATATCCGTAACAATACGCCTTTGTATTATAAATATTTCTATTACAGTAGAGTCTCGCAAACTCGGCGTAATGTGGACTGGAAGGGTGCCGAGTTTGTGAAATGCCGGGTTATCGTGAACTAGGGTTAAAAATAAGAACAATACAGTTTTTAAGCTTTTTAACTGCCGTTTTTATTTATATTTATATTACAAGTCAGTATTAAGTCATTAGATATAGTACAACAAATCCTTAATACCAGTTGCGAATAATTTGACTTAAGCTGGCTTGAGTCCATGATTAACTAGCACTCAAAAAATCACTAATTTTCTGAGCCAGGTGATGGCCGAGTTATCCAGACTGCCGGGTTATCGAGTGCCGAGGACTCTACTGTAATAACACAATGACCTTCAAAATACGCTTTTAATTTGTTTTCTAGCGTTTACCGTTTCTTAGAAAAAGTTAGTTTACATAATTAACAACAAAAACTTTTTGGGCAAAAGAAAAATTCTGAAAAACTACAAATTAGTTTATAACATATGTATCTATATCGTATTCAAGTGTGATAAAGTTCTGGCGTTTGGTTTACAATGTATGAATTTTCAAAGTCACTAGATAGTTTCTGAAACTCTTTATACAACTCTCCTTTATATTCTGACTGTCATATTAATTTTTGTGAAAAAGCTAAAAAATATTAATTTTTAGATTAATTAAAAAAATAAAACGAAGAACATTTTTATGTACTCTGTGTTTATCTAATTAGTTTGGTAAATTTTCCGTATAGCTCCAAACTTGAGAATCTAAACAGCAACAGCAGAATCTGCCTGCATGACACAATGCGGCGCGGCGGGTAGCCCCTATATTACAATTTAAATTACAACCAAACTACACCAGCTAAACATTTTTAAAAATATGATCCAAAAGATTCAACTTTTTAGCTACAAAATCTACCGTTTTTTAACTTACCTGACCAAAAAATAAAAAAGTAGCAGCCGACGAACTTTTTCATGTCATATTTTAAAACTCATTTTAAAGGATTGACTTTATTTGAAGATTTAAAATAGAAAAATCGCTTCACCTGCTTTAATGTTAGTTAGATAGGCGTGTTCCATCTATTGGTCTTATGTGATTGTTGGTCTCAGCATTATCCAATGAAATTGGGAAAAAGAGAAAGGTGCTTCATTTGCAGGACGAATCATAGCAAGAGGACCGATACATTTTAAAATTGTAACGTTTGTAAGGACCCTAATGGGACCATCTGCGACTCATCATGTTTTATCAAACAACACGGCAAGTAAACCAAATCCACTATCGGCAAGAATATAAATTTTAATGTGAGTCCATTAGCAAGACAGGAAAATTTTAGGTGAGTTTAGTAGGTTCAAAGTTGTATATGTCTGATATGAATTTATATCCGTAATAATGTAACTTTTGTACCAATTAAAAGTTTTGTGCAAAAACAGTATTTATTAGTTTGAACTTTACCTTCAAACAAGTCCACAAACAAATTTAATATGACCCATATTAATGTCGCTTGGTCTATTAAAACAAAAATTCAATCTGTTTTACTTATTTTAATTAAATAGACTGTCCAACACATAGATGCGGTGTTTTAAAAATTGCTCCAAACTATAAATAAAATCAATATTATTTCTTACTAATTCATTTTAGGTTAACATGAGGTGAGTTAATTCATTTAAACATAATTTCTCTTTTGATCTGTTGGCCAAAGTTATTCCTATATTACTTGGTCTGTAAGCAACGTTCTGATGATTCTGTTTGGTCTGTGGGAGTGACCGTACCGTGGTAGCGAACGTGTTCAAAAATGTATTGAAAACTTAGAGGATAAATACTTCATATGTGCTAGTAAAAATTTAAAGTATACAAGGACCCCGCCAAACGGATCTGGCAAAAGAAAACAATATTTTATGTATGGATAAACCTACCATTTACTGTAAACCTAATAGTAAATAACACTCATGATAAGTTTTAAAAGTAATTTACTTGATTTACACATCATTTAAAAAAATTTCAACTGAACTTTGGTCCTTATGAGAGACTCTTTTTCAATTTTTGTATAAATTAGAGATCACAATGAATAGATTGAAGTGCTACAATTTGGGTTTTTAACATTAGAATTTTGAACATGTTTAAATGTGTTTCCGTTCATGTCCTATTTGATTATATGTTTGAGTTATTGTTTTTTAATCGTATATATGAGAGTGAAATGTTGCTTTTTTGTCACAGAGTAAAGAATCTTAATTTGTATGATCCTACTAATAATACAATACAAAATACCCTCGCAGCAGCAAACCTGCCGACAAAGGGAATTTCCATTTGTCTGAATTGATTTTCAATTAAATATATTTAAATAACATTAGGTTTAACGAGTACCTAGGTTTGCTGCTACAAGGAAACTAATAAAGTGTGTTTTTTGGTAAAATATTAATAGCTTAGTATAAAATAAATAAATTTGCCAAGTTTGAACAAAATATATCCATAAAAAAGCAAACTAGGTACGACATTTTACAATATTCAACATAAGAACAACATAGAAATTTAAAATTTAAATTTTTTTGAATTTTCTCCGTTACCAATAACCGTACGAAAACACTTTGATATACTAAATTATTTGTTTTTTTTTATCTCGTTAAAAAGGTCTAGAGAGAAATTAAGAAATTTTGTTTTTTGAGGGTCAAAAATGAGAAAAACCAATTAAACCCCCTGTAAAAACTCCGTTCCCATGGTCCAATCATGCTGGTCCGCCAATTCATTCAAGTTTATCCTGCCTTACACCTTTAAACTAAATTTAATCAAAATCGAACAAAAATTAATCAAGTTATCACGTTCACGGACACACACACACACACACACACACACACATATATATATATATATATATATATAAATAAACCAACAGATGTTAATTATAACATCTGCTTAATATTACAACATCTCTCCCTTTTAGTTGCCCTCGTATCTTTTCACAGGTTTCACTATTCCTCCAAACCTTGTTCTAACTTCTTCATTAGATTGGTGACTTGGTTGTGAATAAGTAGGATTATAATTGTTTACAAACAACCTTGTATTGAAAGTTGTTGTACTGTACTTCTATAGATAGATCTTGGTGCTTTCTGATTACTCTGATTAGTGTTGTTGGTTTGAGAGGTAGGGGTTTTGAGTAAGCTCCGTTCATTGTTTAAGTCTACATAAGTTTGCGGAGACTGATCGTTACCCGCCATTGTTGCTTAGTTGTATATATATGTTTAGTGTTTTAAATGTTTTTTAATGTAACAATTTGTTTAACAACTTGTTTCTAGGACTTATGGATACGAAAATATTCAACTTTTTTACAATAAAAAAAAATATTTGGGATATTTTCCCTAATTTCTAACTTTAGATCACTGTAATTCAATAAAGGCCTATTCTAGGAAAACAAGTGCTGTATCCCAATCAAATTTATAGAGAATTTAATAAACTACAAAATGCTTCTATTTTTTAGGCCAACCATTTGATTTGGGCTGAAAAAACAAACAAAACAATTTAAAAGAATGGGTCTTTTTTTTTGCTTTTGTGACTTAAAAATTTAAAAATTATTTTTCAGTTTTAGCTTTAATTTTCAGTTAATAATACCCCACAGCAAACCTGCAGACTTAGTGAATTTCCATCTACCTGGGTGGAATTCCACTAAATTATTATCTTAAAATTGTTAGATTTATTTCCTACTAGCTGGCCCGGCAGACGTCATCCTGTCCTAATGTGGTTTTATGTCAAATGCTTGTTCATATTCAAGATCCTGGTTGAAGTTTGTTCGCTACGCTCACTCACCTTTGGGTTGGAGCTCGTTCGCTGCGCTAACTTGCCGTCAGGTTAGCTCGTTCGCTACGCTAACTCGCCTCCAGGTTGAAGTTCGTTCGCTACGCTCACTCTCCTTTTGGTTGCAAATTAGCTGTTGTCATAAATAAAAAAAATAAATAATCGTACTGCACCCTGTTGGTAAACTTATTAACTTTTTAATGCTATTGAACATCACAAAATCAAATTGCTTAGTTGTTCCAGCTGTTAAGATTCTTTAATTCCATTTAAATATGAGTACTCATAAGGTTAACATGGGAAACTCCAGAGCCACTGGGGTGGAGCCCTTTTGACGTATCTGCACTAAACTTCACACAAACCATCCTTGAAAAAATGTTTAATAATGCCTGAAAGTTTCATTACAATCTGTCGAGCGGTTTCGGAGTCCATAAAGGATAAACAAACAAACATACATACAAACAAACATACATTGGATTTTATATATATAGATTTAAATATCATTAAATTTAATGAGTACTTAGGTTTGCTGCTACAGGGAAGAAAATAGGGGTTTTTATTAAACTATCGATAACTTAGTATGAAGTAAACGAAATTTCAAAATTTAATTAAAATATGTCCATAGACAAGCAAGCTACAACAGTTTATTTCTCCATAAAATTAACATTGTAATTTTAAATTTAACATTTTTTGAATTATCACGTAGCCGTTAGGCATACAACAATGCTTCAGTATACTAAATTATTGGTTTTTTGAGCTCTACAAAGTTGTTAGGAAAGAAATTGCAAAATTTTATTTTTCAGGGTGTAAAATTAGTAAAACCCACTTTTACCACCATAAAACTCCCCATAAACCCCCGTTCCCATAGTCCGAACTTGCTGGTTCGCGAATAAATGTAGGTTTACACGTTTATACAAGGCTTGATCAAAATTGGATAGTTTTTGTTAGAGTTTTTGATGATAAATAAATAAATGAATCTTTAAAAATGTACTTGCTGTGTTGGTGGGTTGTTTCAAATTTAACAAAACTTCTCTCACCAGTGGATATTTGTAAGGGGAATATATAGTACCTGTATCATGAGCATCGCACTGTTACATGTAAGTACAGTAAGTATGGTTTTTATTAACTGAAAATTAAAGCTAAAACTGAAAAATAATTTGTGAACTTTTAAGTCACAAAAGCCAATAAAATTGACCAATTCCTTTAGTTTGATTTGTTTGTTTTTTTAGCCCCAAATCAAATGGTTGGTCTATAAAATAGAAACATTTTTAGTTAATTAAATTCTCAATAAATTTGATTGTGATACTTGTTTTCCTAGAATAGGCCATTACTGAATTACAGCGATCTAAAGTTAGAAATTTGGCAAAATAACCCAAAAATTCGATTTTTTACTGTTAAAAAAATTGAATATTTTCGTATACATAAGTCCTAGAAACGAATTCTTAAACTTTTATTATAGGAAATTTAATTGTCTACAACATTGACGTTACATATTTTTTGCTAAAACGCACCAAAACGGAGATATATGCGAAAATCTCTATAAATTACCGATTTTTTCAATTTTTCCAATATGGCGGTGGGTGCAGAGGGGGAGAATTGTGCATTTTGCATTTTTAACACCTACTTACCATCCTACACAACATATACAAAATGTAGAACTACCGGAACGTTTGTAAGTTAACCCCCCTATTTTTGTCTCTATTTACTGGACTATTGTGTATATACAGTAGTGTTAATTTTTGTTTTTCTTGTGCCAGTTTGGACTCTTTCCCATTCAGGTAGTCCTGCTATTCTGACAAAAAATTCTAAATTAATAAAAAATATTAATTCATACAAAAATTATATTTTATTATTAACATTGATGTAAGTATATTGGCACTACTGAGAGGTGTTGGTTGTAGCTGGGTGTGAAGGCAACCTGACTGTCGTGCCAACTGCAGGCGAAGATTCTGACTATTACACTCCTGAAGATCCTGCTACTACCATCCTCAGTCCTCTACATTCTGACAAGGTATATCCTAACCTTCTCATTCCCCTCTTTGGGTTCCTTTCTGTAACTGTGATCATTCTATTGCTTTTGCACCTTTGTTACAAATACTGTTTGAATTTCATGACTGTGTAGTGTGAACCTAACAATAATGGTGCACCTACTTTTTTTACTACGCTTCAATTTTTACAACAGTTTTTTCATGGAGTTTGTGATAAAATGTTAATAAAAAATAAACTGCTGACGATTGTTGGAACCGTTGATATTTGTGACCACTTTGCTAAAATTGCAAACAATCAAAGTTACATCGTCTGGGCCCCTACACTGGAACCAGAGGTATATATTGGAGACGGGGACAGGATGGTAGCTTTCTTACTTACTAGATGGGCTTATGGCTGGAATTAATAGAGCACATTTTGACACTCTGTTCTTTCAAGCTTATTTGCTTCTTTTCATCGCATGTGGCAGGTATTTAAAACCGTATCATTTAAAAGTAAAAGGATTGTATGTGATTTTTTTATTTTTAAAGTAGAACACCAGGTCAAGTTTACTGAGATGGAAAAATGAACGATTACACAAAATTAGTAACCAACATGATATTAATACTTTTATTTAAATATAAAAATTTATTTTTATTGCTTTCCCTATTTAAATGAATTTCAATCTTAATTTATCATAGATAGAACTAAATAAAAATGTAATATCTACACTAACTCATCACCAATGTTAACAGTTTGTTTATTATCCGTTTAGAACTGTTACTTATTCTCTCTGGATGACTACTCAAAAGGCAATTTTTCATGTGATCTATGCTCAAACTGCCTAAGTATATGTTTGTAAATGGTCATGGCATGCATCAATATGAGTATTTAGATACCTTTCCATTTTCCTGCTGATTCTAAATAAATTAGATGTTTTGTCTTTGATCACATGATGTTTGAACCCTTCTTGAACCAACTACAAGGGGATGGACAGGTCCCAAAATCTTGGGCAATTTTGGGGAAATATATATTTCATATCATCAGGGTGAGATTGCATTTTCTGAGGATGGGATTGGTTCCAATCATCAATGATTTCACCGCATCCCAAGTGACGGTGATAACGTCTCTGTGATAGCAAAAGATGTTGCCAGGGAAGGAGTTTAAATGTTGAACATTAGCAGGCTGTATAACTATTAGGACCCATAAGAGTTGGAGAGATCAATGTATGACGAAATTTCGGGTTGAGCGACAAAATTATACTTTAGAATACGTAATAATCGTCTCACCTGAAATTAGGCCACATCTTAAAATTTGTCCAGATAGCTTAGCCTACAATGAGATAGTCCAGGACTCACTCATGACTTTAATTATCGTTTCGAGTTTATTGGCTCAGAATATTGATTACAACAATGCTAACAAGGTTTAGCTTTACTTTAACAAGTGATCATCATAGCCACTCGAAGTATATGTGTGGTTGAATTTAGAATTTGGAATAATTAAGATGAACGGGATAAACCTAATCAATTAGAAACCTAACTTAAACGTGATTTGTTCGCTATACTTGGTCAACACCAAAGTAAACGTGTCAGGAAAAATAGACTCAGTCAAATACCAGAGTCGATACGGGGTTTCTTTGATCAAATTAACCTAATACTGTTTGGGATAGTTGAATAAATTCTACGTAAATCGTTCTGGCTACTTAAATGATTCCTAAGCTGGTTTGCCTCAAAAGGCTGTGTGCTCGTGCGTGGAAAAGCGTCCGGGGCACGCGTGAAGCGCTACTACGGGGACAATAAAATAAAAATAACAAAACTTCTCTAATAATGAGAATAAACAAAATAAACTCGGTAGCACACCAAGCCTTTGGACACCACCATAAACGGGGGAAATCTTTAACTCACCAGAATGATAGGAAGTTAGACGTTAGACTGTTGGTTTTATCTCCAAACCGCAAGCATATTCACGGTTTTTTAGCGGGTGGACAACTGTCCTGAGGTCTACTCTTCTGGCCCTTCTTCGCCACCGCCCCTGGCGGCGGGGTAGTTAATTAGCGCCCTCCCCTCTACGATGACGTAGGACCCCTCTTGGCGAGCACCTTCGATGCCGATGTCAACGCAAACGCGGTTTACCCCAAACGTAGAAAGATGTTTTAACTTTAAATGGAACTTTTAAAATCAGATTTTTACCCCTTGACGGGTTTTGGGACGTTACAAATGTTTGGTGGGATTGCTGTATTTGTGTACTATTTATTTCAATTGAATGCATCAAATTCATAGCATTTAGTGAAAGAACAGGGAGAACTAACAATTCTGATTTTGAATTTGACAATTTTATAAAAAGATAGGTACCCACTAAAATAGCAGGTAAATGATCTAGTATTAATTTTGTCTATGGAAATATAAATTAAATAATTTATGGTCTGAATGTTGATCAAGTCATTCTAACAATACAGGACAAAGATTGCTTAAAATTGAACAATAATGTAGGATCTATGATCCCATTATACTTGAGGAAGTATAGTTAGGTTTTGATGTAATATTAGAGGATGAGCAGGAAAAGAACTTACTGATACCGAACAGAATATTAAATAGTTTGTACAAATATTTTATACTAGCAGAGAACCCGTCCTTCGTACGGGGTGTGCATATAAGTATAAAATGCTTATTGCAGTTATGATCAAGCTTTAGTTTTCAATGGGGAGGACACAGTTTGATAAAATTTGCTTCTTTAAATTCACGGTACCCTATAGTATTACACATCTACCATAGTCATAAATGTTCTACCACTTCACCGTAAACAATCCTACTTTGATAGTTATCATCACGTATCACAGTTTTTTATTGCTGCTTAGTTCAAATTAGCTGTTTTCATAAATGCAAAAAAATATTGAGCTGCACCCTGTTGGTAAATTTTATAACTTTTTAATGCTTTTACATATCATAGAACCAACTTTTTTATTTGAAACAGCTGACTAAAGTCTTTAATTCCCTTTTAATATAATTACTCATAAGGTTAACATGGGGAACTACAGAGCCACTGGGGCGGTGCCCGAAAGGATTTTTGAGATAAGAATATGCCTATATGTTAATCGGGAATGTGAGCTATCATCATACCAAATTTCAGCCCAATCCGTCCAGTAGTTAATGCGTGATTGAACTTCAAACAAACAAACAAACAAATAAACACACAAACTTTCACATTTATAATATTAGTAAGATACCAATATTTAAATTTTTCTGGTACCTGAACTGGCTATTACAAAAACATCAGTGTTAGTGATGATAAGAAATTCAAACATATCAAATTGGTCGATTACTATAATGGAAATTTTAGTTTATGTAATATTGTTTGGGACTGAGGTTTTGACTGTTTCCTCAAGTAGACCTAAGCAACAAACTCCTGATACCCGAAGTAAATTTAATCCAATCAGATAAAATGCTGCCATTCTAAATTCAAAGAACTCAATTTTTGGTAATCTCAGCTTTAGCTATGACACTACTGAAGTTAAAGGGTCAGTTTATAGCAAGGGTTGAATATTGCCAGCTGGATATTAACTTTCCTGCATTTTTACATGCACAACTTTATGTGGCTGCAATTCACAGAGGAGTGCTTTTAAAACTTATTGTGTAAAACACTAACCAAACAATTTCAGCTGCCAAAAAATTATAAAATATTCACAATAGCCTAAATATTGCTTGGAAAGAGCTTTTACTTAAAGAGCTGAGTGAGTACTTCCAGAAGATACTTAATATATAATATACTTAATACTTAATATTTAATCAATTGAACCTGATAAACTAATCTAAAATTATTGTGAAAGTTATTTAATCTCAAATTCACTCCGGCTTAAAATAACTCCTGTAATACTTAGCAACGGGTACACTACAGTCGGGACCATGTAAGTTTGCAGTTGAGGGAGGAGCCTATTTACCATATGGTTTTGAATGAACCAATGAAAACCGCGCGGTGTTGCCAAATCTAATAATACCAGCTGATTTGAAAATATTGCTTAGTATATTTTAATTAGTGTGGTCAACGGGCGATGTGGCAACGTCGCACTAGCCTTGTCTTGTGATTGGCTGCCACCAACTGCAAACTTACGTGGTCCCGACTTTATTTATAAGTTATTTGGTTTACCTGCTTTACCTTTCAGTTGTAAGTTAATAAGTTAAAGGTTGAATAAAATAAGAATCAAAGTTTTGCATCTACTTTTCTTTCTTCATCAAGTTTAAATGTTACAATATTTCCTTTAATCACCTTGCTAGGGGGGTTCCCGTGTGCATTTTATGTATAGAAAAACACCCTAAGGGATCATGTAGGTACTATGTGGGTTATCATTTTTCACGTGGGTGCCAGCTTGGCAGAGTGGGCATAACCTCAGAATCCGCCATTTTAAAAATGGCGGCGGCATTTATTACATGAAACTCATTGGGAGCTTATATCTCGAAAACGGTAATATATAGCGAGTTACTTTTAATACAAAAAATGTTGCTTACACAATAAGGAACAACTTTTGTATTTACAAAAATGCCCTAAATATAACTATTTAGGAGTAGTTGAGCAATTTATGTTAATTTGACCTATAAATTTTTACTCTGTTAGACAAAAAAATTCTAATATCTTTAAAAAAAAAACTGTTTTTTTTTAAATTTGGCACATAGCACTAATTGCTCTTTACATCTACGGTCTAAATATCCCCGTCGCAGCAAACCTGCAGAATCAGCACACATTTACCTGGCTGCATTTCTACTAAAATATTAAAATTGACGGATTGATTTCCTATTTAAATGACATTGATTTGTAATGAGTACTTAAGTTTGTTGCTTCAGGGAAGGTATTGAGGTGTTTTTTATATATTTTTATTGAAATAATGATAGCTTAGTATGAATGAAACAAAATTTTGAAATTTGACTATAATATATCCATAAACAAGCAAACTAAAACAGTTTATTTATTCTCGATAAGAATAACATGGGAGTTTTAAATTTAAATTTTTTTAAATTATCTCCATAACCTTTGGGCATACAACGCTTCAATATACAAAGTTATTTCTTTTTTGAGGTCTACAAAATGGTTTCGTTCATTATAAAATTTCGTGTTTTTAGGGTTTAAAATCGGAAAAATCCTTTTTTACCCCATAAAACTCCCCACAAACCCCCGTTCCCATAATCCGATCGTGCTGGTTTAATAGTCCGAATTCGTCTGAAAACGTAGGTTTACACGTTTGTGATAAATTTCATTAAAATTGGATCATTTTTGCTCGAGTTATCAAATGAAGTCGTAGTTCTGTCTTTGGATACAGATGTCGTAGTGTTGGCCTTACACTTTATGAATGGATTCTCTTCGGAAGGTTTGCAGGAATTGTGGATGCGACTTGGTACAGCCAGAACTTCATGATATGTACTAGTTCACATTATAGCAAACAGGCTTGGAAGTAACCTTTGCTCAGTTCTCCCAGCACTCCATATTTTAACGGGCTGTGACTTTACCAGCAAATTTGGAACAAAGTATGCTACCCTAAAATGTAATCCAAGTACTTTGCTAATGGACTTTGAAAAATATGGGGAGGAAGAGATAGAATAAAGTTTGAAAAACACAGTGAAGTATCTAGTTCACATTAAAAAAAGGATACTCAGTGTGAAACTATGAATGATCTAAGACACTGGATATAAGTACACTGTCACTGTACAACGAATACTCTTAAAGAACTGCATCCTTTGCTCGTGAAGAAATTCTGTCTGGTAGAGCTACTAGACAGCCTATCTTACGTGCTTTTTATTGTACATACATCCAAATCCATTGCATGAAAGAACACGTTTTTCAACTCGATCCTTTGAGTTTTGGACACAGTGATGGTGGTTACTCTTTGCCGCAATGCTCACAAGTATATTGTGAACAGTTTCATTTTTCTGATGACTATAAAAGGGAACAGATCTTATTCCTCTAACTCAAAAGACTTATAATTTAGATCCAATAACTGCGCTCAAATTTTATGATCCACGAAACTAGTTCAATATCAATACAATCAGTCCAAAGCAGCCTACCACCAAGGACAATGTCAAGGTACTGGTTGTGTTAACGAGACGTCAATGCTTGGCCGATGCACCAACTTTGCCGCCGGTCCCGTTCCCGCTCCATCGCCGTTTTAATAATAAATGTTATGAATTATAATAGTAATTTCTATTACATCCGAAGATGTATTATTATTTGTAATAATACAAATGCATTATATAGAAAGGATTATATTTATTTTTATATTTGTATGCGTCATTTAATAACAACAAAATAATTTAAAAATATTTTATATTATTTTAATAACTTATATATCTGCCAGAAGCTTCTCAAATGCTTTTTGCAGGTTTTTTTTACCTTAAATGCGAAGAAAAATTAGTACTATGTGCCAAATTACAAAATAACAGATTTTTTATAAAGTTTCAAGTTTTCAAGTTTCAAGTTTCATCCTTTTATTGATTTCCCTCAAGGGGTACATCAAAAAATACATTTACAAAATACAATTACTGTACATGCAAAATAACCAAGGTTGGTAAATAAGTTTTACTAATAACTAGGCAAATAAATAATCATATAAATATTAACATGCAATAAATAATTCAATAAATAACCAATAAATATCTCATAAATAAATACTGTATAAACATAGAATACCAGTAGAAGAACAATAAATATTTACACATTGAATAGATTTTTTATAATTATTAGATTTTTTTGGCAACAGAAATGCAGCCAGGTAAATGTTTGCTTAGTCTGCAGGTTTGATTCGGTGGGGGTATTTAGACCTTAGATGTAAAGAACAATTAGTGCTATGTGCCAAATTTAAAAAAAAACTGTTTTTTTAAGATATTAGAATTTTTTGTCAAACAGAGTAAAAATGTATAGGTCAAATTAACATAAATTGCTCAACTACTCCTAAATAGTTATATTTAGGGCATTTTTGTAAATACAAAAGTTGTTCCTTATTGTGTAAGCAACATTTTTTGTATTAAAAGTAACTCGCTATATATTACCGTTTTCAAGATATAAGCTCCCAATGTGTTTCATGTAATAAATGCCGCCACCATTTTTAAAATGGTGGATTCTGAGGTTATGCCCACTCTGCCAAGCTGGCACCCACGTGAAAAATGATAACCCACATAGTACCTACATGATCCCTTAGGGTGTTTTTCTATACATAAAATGCACACAGGAACCCCCCTAGCAAGTGGATTACTTGGTAATGAAATAAAGAAAACAAAATGCAAATCACATCATTAACAACAATAATTGCTATCTGCAAGAATGTTTACTCAATATTTATAAAACAAACCCATTACCGTTCGGGGAAAAATTTCTTCCTGTCCCAAACTAAAGGTCCAATCTCATTCATCCCTACCTATCTTTTTTGTTCTAGGACGCTAGGCACTAACTCAGGATCCCTTTTCACATTACTTCACGCTAGACCTACCACTAGACCAGCTCGCTCCCCCACCTAACTGGCTTTGTTATTGAATCAAACAGCTGAGACTCTTCTGCCACCACAAGTTGTGTTTCAAATTGTGTTAAATGTAACAATTTATATTTCTATTTTAACATAATACGAGCTTTGAAAGTGTTGTATAGAACTATTTTTGTCTGACAGGAGAACACTGAGCGGGTGAAGGAGCAGGTGGTGAGAGGTAGCAGTGGGGAGGCCATCGGTCGGTGGATGGTACGGGATGGTTTGTCTCTCCCTGGCACTCCTCAGTCTACAGCCAGTCACCGCTCTAGTGGAGACAGCTACAGCTCCAGCGGCTCTACTAGACTACTGCTGTCTGCTAGTGACAAGACTACTGCAGCTTAAACTGTACATAATCTATATAGCAAACTAGGTGAAGGCTGTAAATCCCTTACCTGTACTGTCCTATGTATCCTGGACCTTTGTACTGTGTTTTTGCACAGTTGTGGAACCAGAGGTTGTGGAGTTATCCAGAGCATTGAAATTTTCAATGGGTTTCAATAAAATGAATAACAGATTAAATTTTTTCATACAAATTTATTACCTACTCAGGATCCCTTTTCACATTACTTCTTGCTAGACCTAGGGCTCTACCACTAGACCTCTCCCCTACCACAGAAAACGTACTACTATAACCCAGAATGCCAACCGCATGGTAAAAAGCATTAAGTGTTTTGAGAGAGCTTTGCCTGTCAATCCGTAGGCAGCACCACCAGCGTTGCTAATGTTGCTATGCTATTGCATGGCAACGCTGGTGGCGCTGCCTACGGATTGACAGGCAAAGCTCTCTCAAAACGCTTAATGCTTTTTACCATGCGGTTGGCATTCTGGGTTATAGTAGTACGTTTTCTGTGCCCCTACCGAACTGGCTTTGTTATTGAATCAAACAGCTGAGACTCTTCTGCCACCACAAATTGTGTTTCACATTGTGTTAAATGTAACAATTTATATTAATATTTTAACATAATACGAACTTTAAAAGTGTTGTATAGAACTACTTTTATGTGTATTTTCACATATTGAGTAAACTGTCTTCAAAGAAATGCTGAATATTCAACAATTTAATCTTTGATTTTTTCCGTGTACCCTGTCAGCTGTTGGCTGTCGAGTTAGTGAGATTTTATTGTATCTCATTAAGAACATATACATTATGACTTATTCAAGAAACTTGTTTGTTTAAGCCTGGCTATATATTTGTTAAACTTTAATTTTATGATAAGTTAGTTCAAATTGTATATTCCTGTATTATGCTCCTACATCAATATTTAATACAAGTGACTAGATCTTTTATATTTTTGTTGGATTTCCAGTATTGAATCCTCTGGAGTACGACATCCAGTATTGATCTGATCCCGTCAGCTAAGCATACTGCCTACCATGCCCCCAAGGTACTTGGCAGTACTTCAGGATCCCTTTTCACATTACTTCACGCTAGACCTAGGGCTCCGACATTATCACTTATATAAAATCCATTGGTGATTTGGTGGAATTTGAACTCAGGATTTCAGGGACCAAAGTCCCACGCTCTACCACTAGACCAGTTCGCTGCCTAACTGGCTTTGTTATTGAATCAAACCGCTGAGACTCTTCTGCCACCACAAGTTGTGTTTCACATTGTGTTAGACCACTCTCAATGTCACAATGGTGTCAATAGGTTTTTTGTGAAAATCACGATCTAGGTTTTGCTCAAAGCGAGTGAGAGACCATGGTCTGCCATCCATGTGTTGATGGTACGCATAACTCTGTTCAGCTTAGTTAAGATAGCTCAATGCTACGTGCAGCTATCAAAGCTCCAACGTCATCCGCGTACCCAACCAATACAGTTTCCTCAGGCATTTCAGACCTCAGGAGGCAGTCATAAGCGATATTCCAGAGGTCTGGGCCCAGTATGGAACCTTGGGTGGCACCAGAAGTAATACTCGTTGTCTGCGGGCCTTCTGTAGTGTCGGAACCGGATGTAATCCTCTATGATGTGCATGAGGCATGAGGGAATGTGAAATGTGTTCTCCAGAGCGTCCAGCATATAACACCACCTCGTGGAATTAAATGAGTTTCGCATATTTGGTGTTATGGCACAGTCCTACGAGAGTAGTGGTTAAAATCCTCAGCTCTTGTTGCAGCTTGCTTCACACCCTCCATAGTGTCGACTGTTGTTTGCCTTTCCTGAATCCATACTGACGAGGGGACAGGTTTCCCGCAGCGACCACGGCTAAATTCAGTCGGAATCAGATCAACTTCTCGAAGACTTTGCAGGTGTATCTAACATAAACAAAGGTCTGTAAGATGATGGCAGGTCTGGGCCTCGCTTCTCCTTCCCAACAAGTACAAAAGCTCAAGCCTATCTGTTTTCCATCATGAGGGAAAACACCTTCAACCAGGCAGTCGTTGTACATGCTCTAAAGGATCCATGGGTTCGTAGTATTACTCTACTTTAAGCTTACTCTACTTTTTTGCTTTAAGGTGCAGTATTTCAAAATAATCAGAAGGAAATATTTATTAGCAAAACACTTAGCCTAATACTGGCTAGCATACAATGCTAATCTTAATTGACCATAGTTTTTATTTTTATCTGTTCAATATATTTTTAATTAGCCATTTCAACTATTTGGCATAATATAGCCTTACAAGATTGAAGATTAAGACTATCTTATTTACAATGCCCTCTTTTAAATAACATTCTTTTAACAATAATAGGCCTCTTGTATTCTATAATGTTATAAATGTTACATTACGATTAATACGAATATCAAATTTAATAAAATTGTTCAATATTATTGTAAATAAAATACATAATCAATTAAGGTAAGAAATATGTATTTGTGTTTTATTCAACCTTAGTTGTAATGAAAGTAACTACAATACTAATTACGTTTTTGAGCTGATTGAGCTAAGCTCCTATACTTCGACTCTTATGCATTTCGTCATACACGAATTAAATTTCTGCTAGACGGATGAAGCAATTGTTTTAAATTTTGCATTATGATACTTATGTATGGCATTTAAAAATTCAAATAACGCTTGTAATAAATAGATTTTCATCATACTGTCCAGAAAGCAGCCGTTTTTAGTTCTCTAAACTGTCCGCAAAATCATCCTTTTTGGGTAATTTCAAATAGGGAACAGAAAAAACATATGGTAAATTTTTCAGTTCGCAAACCTCAAAATTTTATAAGTGCACTCACTAGTAGCTGTATAGTTGGCTCAAAAGACAGAGAGACACCTCCTCAGGTAGAATGGACCGTCCTAATCCCCTGTTGACATACCCATAGCCTTTATTAGTGGCATACACACCGGACTGCCGGAATTCCACAAAAATCTGTGTCACACTAAAAGTTTGTAATCAATTGATATACAGACCTACATAAACGAATGACGGCTCATTTTTTTCGTCTTACTTAGACAAATAAAAAAGGTGTCTCTCTACGTTTTGAGCCAACTATACCCGTCCGTGCGTTGAAAGGGGGTCAGTATGCAAGAGACAATGTTGGTTCTTTGAAAATGCAAAAACCTGTGATACGCAATGAGAACTATCAAAGTAGGATTGTTTATTTACAGTTATGTTTATGTTTTTAATTTCATGAATAATTTCTTAATTTGTGATATTATGAAAATTTTTTGATAATTATTTATTTTTCTATATTGTTTAGGTGAAGTGGTAGAACATTATGGCTATGGTATATGTGTAATACTATAGTATACCGTAAATTTGAAGAAGCAAATTTTATCAAACTGTGTCCTACCCCATTGAAAACGCAAAGCTTGAGTATAACAGCAATAAGCATTTTATACTTATATGCCAACCCTGTACGAAGGACAGGTACTCTGCTAGTTAAGTAATATTTCAAAGGTTTATTAAAAATTTCTTCACACTAGATTATCTAACTTTTTGGAAAATAACTACAAGTTTTGCAAGGAACAATTTGGTTTCTGTAAAATTAAAATATCTAATCAGCTTTAAATAACTTTGTAAATCGCGCTTTGAAGGCCTTGGATGAGTCACAGTACACAGCTGGTGTGTTCTGCGACTTATACAAGGCTTTTGATTGTGTTAATCACAATATTCTTATTACAAAACTTACAGAAATTGGTGTTCATGGACAAATAATTGAACTTTTGAAATGTTACTTAAGCGATAGAAAACAAAGTAATTAAATTAAAACCATCTCTGGGAACAAATACTCTTCTTGGCTAAATAATAACTATGGAGTTCCGCAAGGTTCAATCCTAGGCCCTCTCTTATTCCACACATATGTTAATGATTTACCTTTTCATTTTTCAAGTCAAACCTGTACCCTTTATGCATATGATACAACGGCTCTCATCAGACGAGATACTGTTAAAATGTTACATAATGATGTCAAAGAAACAATTGAAGAAATAGCAAATTGGTTAAAAAAAAATGGCTTACTTTTGAACGAAGATAAAACTTAATTTTCAAATTGAGAAATTCAACCACTGAAACAGAAACTAATGCCTCACCCACAGTGTAGTAAAGTTTTTACAGTTTTTAGGAATATATTTGGATAGCAAACTACAGTGGACAGAGCATATTAATTTTCTAAACAAAAAACTTAGTCCAACAAGATACGCTTTAAGTGTTTTAATTCAGGTTACCTCCTTGGAAGTATGTAAAAATGCTTATTATGCTAATGCTTATGTGTACTCTATTTTAAGCTATGGTATTACGTTATGGGGGACAGCCACAGATGTCCACAAAGTTTTTAAAAAACAAAAGTCAATCATCAGAAGAACTCTTTCAATTTGCCCCAAAACAACATCATGAAGACAACTGTTTCGAAATTTTAAAATTTTAACTCTGACTTCAATATACGTTTTTGAAATTTAAAAAAATGGTTCATGGAAATCTTTGTATGTTTTTTGTTGTATGTTATGTTTTTGAATGTTGTATGTTTGTATTATCTTAGTAATCACTCGTTTCATTTTCACTATTTCATTTTTATTTTAAAGCCATTGAGCAAAAAGATGTAGCAAAAACAATCACAAACTATTCATGACAGTAAAAACATAAACATAACAACATAACTGTAAACAATCCTACTATACTTTGACAGTTCTCATTGCGTATCACAGTTTTTTGTTGCTGCTTAGTTTAAATTAGCTGTTTACATAAATGCAAAAAAAAATTTAGTGCTGCTCCCTGTTGGTAAATCTCATAACCTTTTAATGCTTTTGTATATCATAGAACCAACTTTTTAAGTTGAAGCAGCTGACTAAATTCTTTAATTCACTTTAAATATGAATACTCATGAGGTTAACATGGGGAACTACAGAGCCACTGGGGCGGAGCCCGAAAGGATTTTTGAAATAAGAATATGCCTATATGTTAATCGGGAATGTGAGCTATCATCATGCAAAATCTCAGCACAATCAGTCCATTGGTTTATGCGTGATTGCACTTCAAACAAACAATCAAACAAATACACAAACTTTCACATTTATAATATTAGTAAGATTATGATTATATTGACAATGTCACCTGTTTTTGTAGCTTTTGTACATAG